CCCCAAAACCCCAAAACCCCAAAACCCCAAAACCCCAATAATTTTTAATAAATTGAAATCAATAAATGCAGAGGAAGAGACTATTCAATGAAGAAGACAAGCACAAGATGTGGAGGATCAACTGGAAATTACTCAGTAAGACCTCTCTAACAATCATGCCCTTCATTGATCCCCTCTTTTCAGTTATTTTTACCAAGTTGGATTCTTGGCAAATTCCCTTGAAATAAAATGTGATGATAAACTTAGATACCGAAGTTATTTCTCCAAAGAAGAAAACCCTCACAATTGATATTCAGGATGAGGAAGATTCTGAAGAATACGAAGAAATACCAGGTATATCCCTTCTCTATTCTCATAGATGTTCCCAAGGATGTTTACTTAAAAGCAGTTCAAGAATATGTTGCTGAAAAAACAAGAATACACTCTCGAGTCTTAAACTCTATGGGACTGGAGCAGGGTGGAAATAGCGATGAACTTTGCCTTGAAAACCCTGGGGTGCACTCCACCTTCAAGCCAAGTACAAAGAGTAATTAAAGTTTCTTATAAATCTAGAGCCTTTTAATGCGCTGAATTGAGACACACATTTAAGCAAAAGTTCGTCCAAACTTAGTGTATGTTTTGTCATGAGTCTGAGTAATCCAGTCTAGACATTGGGAAGAAGCAGGAATGTAACTTTCTCTCAGACCAGGACAGTCAGGCGGGGTGCCACAACTCTCCACCATTACAGTTTGCTCAACCAAATAAGGCTGAATAAAAAGTCCTTACTAGACTCAGAAGATTCCTTGCCTGATATAAATAAGAAGAGAAGGATGCTTCCACAGATTTTCAAAGAGAAAGAAATGTTTTCAACAATGGAGCCACTTAGCCCGAGGAAATGATTTGCTCTGTCTCCTGATAGAATGGCTCAAAGGGTAATGGAAAGCAAGTTGGGCTCTACAGGTAAGTATTTCAAGAATTAATATTGGAGAATGTCTTCAAACTAAATTTATGAAAAGGGGTTTTGGGGTTTTGGGGTTTTGGGGTTTTGGGGTTTTGGGGTTTTGGGG